AGAGAGATCTTTTTCAAATTTTATATGTAGGTTCCCCTTGGTCCTAGCTGTGCAGGGCAACTTTTGAGAGTGATCGGATAAACAACATGGCCGACAGGCAGCCATCTTTGATTTTGATAGTGAAAGTTTGTTATAGCTATTTCTCAAGAAGTACCTAAGGGATCTTTCTCAAATTCTATATGTAGGTTCCCCTTAGTCCTTAGCTGTACAGGGCAACTTTTGAGACTGATCGGATAAAAAACATGGCCGACAGGCAGCCATCTTGGATTTTGACAGTGAAAGTTTGTTATCGCTATTTCTCAAGAAGTACCAGGGTCTTAAATTTTATATGTAAGTTCCCCTTGGTCCTTAGCTGTGCAGGGCAACTTTTGACACTGATCGGATAAACAACATGGCCGACAGGCAGCCATCTTTGATTTTGATATTGAAAGATTGTTATCGCTATTTCTCGAGAAGTATCAGAGGGATCTTTTTCAAATTTTATATTTAGGTTCCCCTTCGTCCTTAGCTGTGCAGGGCAAACTTTGAGACTGATCGGATAAACAACATGGCCGACAGATAGCCATCTTGGATTTTGATATTGAAAGTTTGTTATCGCTATTTCTCAAAAAGTAACAGAGGGATTTTTCTCAAATTTTATATGTAGGTTCCCCTTGGTCCTAAGCTGTGCAGGGCATTTTTTGAGACTGATTGGATAAACAACATAGCCGACAGGCAGCCATCTTGGATTTTGATAGTGAAAGTTTGTTATCGCTATTTCTCGGGAAGTATCAGAGAGATCTTTTTCAAATTTTATATGTAGGTTCCCCTTGGTCTCTTGTTGTGCATGTTATATTTTGAGATTGATCATAAAAACAAAATGGATTAAAAGAAGAACTAAACAGATCTTTCTTCAATGATCGATTCTTATTCTTTCACATTAAGTACTGTACTAGGAAATATGTGAAATGACAAAGTCACTTTGAAGGTTGGTTTTTATACACATCAGTATTAAGTTTAAATCAAAAGTTACCTCAAGGTGCATTTACTGTTAATATAACTCGATCAAACAGAAAAGATCGAACTGACAAAGAACTAATGAAGATGGTACAAAGGTGGGCGCCAAGATCCCTCTTGGATCTCGTTTCTTTAGTTATGTAGCGAACTGAACTGGGTCGATTGCTGGCAACCAGGTAGCTCAATTGGTTAGAGCGCCCTTCTAGACGTTGGAGGGTCCTGGGTTCAAGCCCTGGTCTGGCCGTTGCATTTCTCTTCTTCTGCCCAACTTGGCAGCACCAACCCAGTGATCAAACCTGCTTTCTCGCACTTCCCAGTCGGACCCTCTATCACTAAGCAAAAGGGTGGGATCGCAGGTTCGATAACTCTGATGGAAGCAGACTCCTCTCTTTCCTGCTACAATTATACACACGCCTCCCTTATGAAGGTAGTTTTTATTTCCTGCTTAGCGTGTAGAGTAATGACAACAAATGGTTAACCTGTTGCCGATATAATATGACTGTATGGAATACCATGCTTGGTGTCATCGGCATGGTGTTTCAAAGAGGTAGCACTCTAATGTCGACCCCAACATACCGCCTCCCACACACATCTTACACACATGGCAGCACGTCTGTAAATGACCTTAGGTGTTAATAGGACGTTAAACAAAAACTACAGAATACATCATTCTACTTAATGTGAGTGTCAACCGACCCTATGAAAATCAATACCAAGGTCTGGAGATCAAATAAAACACACATGTGAATCTGATGCCGGCTTTAGAACGCTAAAAACACTGAAATGCCGTGCCGATGGCACCAAGCACAGCATTCTGCCCAAGAGTTACGCCCACTTACATTCTCTGACGTACATGTGCTCCTGGATACATACAAAAATATCCACGTGCCATTAGAACTGGCAAAATTATCGACAAAACAGTATCCTGTCTTTTTCACAAGATCAGAATTAACAACAGACACTTTATATTCATATTGTTTTTCTACCAGGCAGGTAAATATAATAACGATTTTACAATTTTCAGTAAAACTCCATTCCTACACAATTATGGTATTCGGGCAGGAACACAGAAATTTCAACAAAGTGATAGTTTTCATTAAGTCATGTTTTCATCAATTACAAACAAAACCAAAAAATAATAATAAATCAGATATCATGATGTCACACTTTCATGGGTAATCATTGTTTTTAACAGAAAATAAGTCTTATTTTCCTATGTGATAAAAATCAACGGAATATCCGGTATGAAAGCAAATATATGTTTAGTTCAGAAAATGCATTGTACACAACCATAGTGACTGTACTGTTGAATTATTTGTATTGAGTGTTTGTGGTACTATTCTGGTACATATACATATCACGTGATCAACCAATCCATGTGTTCATCTGCTCAATAATTAGTAGAGTTGACAGATAAGAATATAACTGTTTTGGTCTGTAGAATCAGAAGTAACCACAAACGTGTCACCACGAACAGCTATTGCCCGTGGATTTTTCATTCCATCTGATGACTTCAGCAGTTCCCTGACGTGTGTCCCGTCCCCAGACATCTGTACGACGTTGTGTGAACTATAACCACACACGTAGATGTTACCCTCCCTGTCCACGTCTATTCCTTCAGCACCCTTCACGACACCAAACTTCATCACATCCGTGTGACGTTTGTCAGCCGACAGTCTAGACACCGCGACGTCCCCCGTAGTGTTGGTATAGACACTGACGAGTGTGTCTCCCTTTACTGGATCTTGTGTGAGGGACCAGCAGTTATTATTATACTTATATAACAACTCGGCTGTTCCGTCCTGTGTCACACTGTATACCTCTCCTCCACGTGTACCCACGATAAACTTCCCGTCTCTATGTGTTATACCAAAACAGTGTTTAACATTAGTCATGTTGATCTCGGACGACAGGGAGAATTTTGAGTCCTCAACTTTCACGACACGGACACCACCAGGACTGGTGACAGCGACCGCCACGGTATTGTTGTTCACCAGACACAGATCCCAGAGATCTCCCCGAATGTTCAGCTCGTCCAGGTACTGTCCAGGTACTGTCCTTTGTCTGTAAACAGCTTCAGCTTCTTGTTGTTGCTATCACTAACTACTATCTGTTCATTTGGAAGATACACAACCCCACGTATCAAACAATTAGATTTATCAGACGGATTCTTTACGGTAAACTTTCCTATTTCTTTCACACGACGCTCTGACAAAGGTACGGACAGGTAATCAAGATCACCAGGAAGACATCGCCGTTGTCTCTCGATTACGATCTTCCCTATCGCATCATCACCAAGGGTCACCAGTCTGGGAACAATCTGATGTTTAATGCTGACGGACGTGAAGGACTTGTTCATTTCCGTGACCAGGGCCTTACACGACTCCACTTCTGCCTGTCCTCTCTGATACAACACTATCGCCTCAATAGTGTCGTTCCCCTCTGCGGCGGTAACGGATAACCTCATGGTATTTAACATACTGTTCACCAGACGTTCACACTGTCGTGACGACGCCTCCATATTCCCCTTCTCCTCTTTAAACAATGTAATTAACCTATCAGTGACGTCCTTCTGAAGTTTGTTCAGCTGTTCTTCGACACTTTGGCGTAGATCTTTGATGCTTTTCAGTGCGATTTCCTGATTTTGGACCATGGTTTGGAGCTGCTCGTCAAAATCCTTCACCAATGACGTCATAGCCTGTGCTCCTTTCTTCAGTGCCATCTCCATCTCTTCTAGTTGTGACCCAGCTTTTAACTTCTGTAAATATTGAATCGACGTTGTCACCTCATCACAACGTCTGTGGTCTTTGATCATACATATGTTGCATCCGAGACGTTTGTGGTCTTCACAGTACCAAATCAATTTCTCGTCGTGTTGGTCACATTTAGGGACTGACTTTTCCTGTTTTGTCTTCCTGTTATCGTACCCAGTAATATCTAAGATATCACAATCATTGTGCATGATATCATGATATTGTACTTTACAAGTCTCACAGAATTTCACGCCCATCGACTTGCACCAGAATTTCGCTAGATTGGTCAGGTTACCTCTTGTCTGGCATGGCTTGCAGTACAGTGGTTCAGACGAATGTTCCTTAAGCTTGATAAGGTCCTGGATCACAGCATTAGTCGGGAACTGTTCTGCCCATTTGTCCTTAGCTTCCGTTTGATTGGCGGGCTGGGCCATTCTCCTACAGACAGGACAAGGGAACGATGTTGCCGACGCCATTTTTCCAGATAGCTCCTTGGTAATGTAGGTCCCGAGGCATTCCTGACAGAAGCAGTGGAGGCAGGGTAAGGACTTGGGTTGTCGAAGTCGCTCCAGACATATTGGACACTCCAGTAAGTGTAAGTCCAGTTCCGATGAAGGGCGGCCATCTGCCATAGTAACAGCTAGGGCAGATTAACACTGGCCTGAAAAGGAAAGAGTAACGATAATAGTTTGATTGATTTCACACAAATATACTATAAAGCAGATCACACATTTAATAGCTGGTCCATTATACTGTACCCTACAGGTTATTAAAGCATTAGTTTCTAGACCTACACACATTTTATTTATAGTTCTATTTTTATGTAAGCTTGGAGTCTCAAACAAGTGACCTAGAGGGCCTGTATCGCTCACCTAAATATGTTTAAAGTACTTGATTTGAGGTAAAGATTTAGAACTCCATGGTAGGTACTGTATGTACAAATTTCAGAAAGGTTCATCCATTATTTCTGGAAATATAGCGGGAACAAACATCAAATGTCAAAATCCAAAATGGCAGCCTGGTGCACCGTGACCATCTTGTTTTAATGATTACACCCATATAGTAACAGGCACCACTAGACAACTTGATGGAGACAAAATTGGTATAAAATCATGTAATCCCTATGGTAGAAGAAGCATTTCAAAAGTTTAACATCTATTCCCCCTATTGGGCCCCGTTCCTATGCCCTCCGGGCCACACCCACCATTTATACAAAATTGAGTCCCCTTGGCCACAGTATGTTCCTGATCAAATTGAGATAAAATACCTTTATCCCTACGCTAGAAGAAGAATTTTAAAAGTTTTACCTTAATTTCTCTTATTGGGCCCCACTCCTCTGCCCCCAGGGGGGCAGACCCACCATTTATACAAAATGGAGTCCCCTTTCAGGACTAGTAGCGTTTTAAAGGAAAATACGGCGGACGGACGACGGACGCTGCGGCCTTTGGGCAGGTGAGCTTAAAAAAATATAATGACTTTTTAAAATTAATTATTCTCTTTGTTTCTTAAGGCCATTAACACTGTCGTAGTTCGAAAATGTATTCAAGAAATGACATTACAGTTTTGTGTATTGTGAAATACAATGCGTTGATTTCAGCTAAACATTTTTGCAGTGCACGCTTGTTTATTAAAACAAGAGGCCCAGAGGGCCTGTATCGCTCACCTGGAAATGTTAGCAAAATTGAAGTTGAAATAGCCATATGTTGCTGGAAGCGTATATGTATTACATGGTTAGCTAGGGGTTATATGTATATGCAATTCGACAAAATCCTGTCATTCCTACTGGAAAAAGAGGAATTGAAGAATTTGTTATATTCTCCTATTGAGCCCCGCCCATCTGACCCAAGAAGGATTAGACCCACCTTCGATACAAAATTAGCTACCCTTCACCCAAGGATGCTTTAGACCAAATATGGGCATAATCCTGTCATTCCTACATAAGGAGAAGGATTTTAAATATATTTTTGTATTTTCACTATTTGCCCCGCCACTCTGCCCCCTAGGAAGTTCAAACCCAATATTTATACAAAATTGATTTTCCTTTCCCATAGGATGCTACTGTTCAAATTTGGTTAAAATACCTTCATCCCAACAGAAGAAGAAGGATATTGAAGCTATTCCTATATATCCCTTATTGGGCCCCGCTTCTTTGCTCCCAGAGGGGTCAGATTCACCGTTTATATAAAACTGGTTCCCCTTCACCCAAGGGTGCTTTATACTAAATTTGGACAAAATCCTGTCATTCCTACAGAAGAAGAAATATTTTGAAGAATTTGCTAGGTTTCCCCATTAAGGCACAGCTCCTCTGCACGCATGAGGGGCCATACTCACCGAAAATATGAAATTGAGTTCCCGTGGCCCAAGGATGCTCATGACTAAATTAGGATAAAATATTTTAATCCTTACGGTAGAGGAAGGATTTTAAAGGTTTTACCTCTATTTCCCCTATTTGGCCCCACCTCTCTGCCCCCAGGGGGACCAACAAGCACCGTTTATACAAAAAAATGAGTCTTCTTGGCCCAAGGATGCTCCAGACTAAATTAGGATAAAATCCTTTAATTCCTAAGTTAGAAGAAGGGTTTTAAAGGTTTTACCTCTATTTCCCTTATTTGGCCCCGCCTCTCTGCCCCTAGGGGGCCACACCCACCGTTTATACAAAATTGAGTCCCCTTGCCCCAAGGATGCTCCAGACTATGTAAGGATAAAATCCCTTAATCCCTACGGTAGAAGAAGGTTTTATTTACCCTATTGGGCCCTGCCCCTCAGGTCCCAGGGGGGGCCCCGGGGCACACCTACAACTCCACACCAAATCTGAAACAAATCCTTGCTTTCCTACAGAAGAAGAAGGATTTTAAAGAATTTGCTATGTTTCTCCTATTGGGCCTCGCCCCACAGGCCCCTGAAGGGCCAGACCCAAAGTTATACAAAATTGTTTCCCCTTCACTCAAGGATGATTCAGACTAAATATGTAACAAATCCTTTCATTCCCACAGAAGAAAAAGGATTTTAAAGAAGTTGCTCTATTTCCCCTATTGGTCCCTGCCCCTCAGCCCCCAGGGGGGCCAGATCCACCATTTATACCAAATGTGTTCCCCTTCTTCCAAGGATGCTTCTGACCAAATATGGAACAAATCCTTTCATTCCTACATAAAAAGAAGGATTATAAAGAATTTGCTATATTTCCCCTATTTTGGCCCGCCTCCCAACCCCTGGGGGGCCACACTCACCGTTTATACAAAATTGGTTCCCCTTTACCCAAGGATAATCCACGCGAAATATATAGGGACCAAATTCTCTCATTCCTACAGAAGAAGAAGGATTTAAAAAAAATTGCTGATTTTCCCCTATCGGGCCCCGCCCCTCAGCCCCCAGGGGGCCAGACCCACCATTTATACAAAATTGAGTCCTCTTTGCCTAAGGATTCTCCAGAACAAATTTAGTCTAAATCTAGTGGGCCGTTCAGGACAAGTAGCGTTTTAAAGGAAAAGTTGACGGACGACGGACGCTGCGGTATGGCATAAGCTCACCATGGTCCTTTGGACCACGTGAGTAAAAAATATAATGACATAGAAAAAAAAAATGAAAAAAAATCAATCAATAACATTTACATCTTCACAACCCACAACAGAATACACATAATTTTAAAATAAAAATCAAAGAATAACACCCCAATCAAATATTTCAAAATAATCTTTCATTATTAATTACATATTATGATATGTACTTATTACTTAATCAATGGATTAACAAATAGCAGTTCAGTTATATGTATCACGTTATTTTTTAAACAATCCATCCTCGTGAAAATAGTATTTATCGACGTATTCCGTACTTTCTACTGTTATGATCGACCTGAAATGTTTGCACAAACTTAGGTAAGTGAACAATATTTATGAATCAGAAGAAAAAAGTGAAAAAAATATAATAACGAATTCCTGGGTGCGCAAAACCCTCCCTGAACACTCATTTCTCCCAGGACACTTAATGGGTGACCCGATTCTTGACGTAATTTGCCCCAAATTCATGATTTTGGATAAAAATAAAGTATACGGAAACCATTAAATATGTTTTTGTGGATATTTCGCCGTTTCAAAGTTGTGTTGGGTACAGTATGGGGTATTGGGTAGTATGGGGTAGTATATGGGGTAGTATTGGGTATTTAGACGCACTGTTTGTATCTTACAGCGAAGGTTTGCCGAAAGTGTAGTAACTGATAAATGTAAATACTGATATAACCAAACATTTTTTGTGTAATTTACAGATGTGTACGTAACAAAAGCACCTTAGTTCCTTACACTCACCTTGTGAACTAACAATAGCGACACGGAAAGGACAGACTGGACTTCTTTCGGCAGGACACTGGACCGATCTCCAAAACAGGAAGTGTATAGACTGGTGGTACTAATTACAGCCCGGTAGAGCCCGGTAGTGATATGTACACCGTCCGGGCGTTTGTCTCCACTTATACACAATAACAAATGTATATTTTGCATTGTTTGTATCAACGTGAATATAATGATCAAGAACTGGTGAACAATTAAATTTGAGCGAGTTATGACTATTGGTAAAATCGCAACAGCCCGCTGGAGAAGACCCAACGTTTGTTATTTGCGATACAAACACCGCCCGGGCTTTCACCTGTGTGGTTAAATGGATTATTTTTTTTTATTCTTATAGCTTTAGGAACGAAAAATACACAACTGAAGAAAATACCAAATTTGTTCATAATTAGCCACGTTATTGTAATTTGAAGTTAACCAGTACTGCAGGACTTGTTATTTACAATATTAGGACTGTCCGGACATTACTCTGTAAAATTAATTGAATTAAAGTACTTAACTCGGGTTAATTAATGAATAAGAAATAAAACGTAAAAGACAGTGTGAACATATCTTCATTATAAACAGATTTATGCCGATCTAACATTAGATACTTCGCTACATTACGCTGAAGCTTACATCACGCGTGTCATTTGCAGCATAGGGACCGCCCGGGCTTTCATCTTTATCGCTAGGTCAGTTAAAACTATTTATTTGTTAAGATGTGAGTGTAAAAAACACATTGATGAACAAAATGATAGAATATGTTAATTATTGGCGGAGTTATTTTTTTTTATTTTTTTATTTTTTATTTTTCCACAAGTTTTATTGATACATAATATAAAACACCAACAACAAAAACGTCCACTCACTCACATACATTGTGGTGCCATTACCTCAATCATAGCCATCATCATCATCATAATCATCATCATCATCGTTACCAACATCATCATCATCATTACCACATCATCATCATCATAACCAACATCATCATCATCATCATCATCATCATCATCTCACATACATGGTGATGTCATTACCTCCATCCGCCATCCATACACAATCGCCCTTACTCACATCCACCCATACACACACTCTTACGTACACAAACACAAACAATTAAGGATTCATAGAAATGCAAAAAAATAATGAAAAGCTACTAAAAACTGTAAACTAAAAATACATATATCAGTTCAGAGAGAGAGAGAGAGAGAGAGAGGGTGGGGATGGACTATTATATTTTTGAGCTCAAGCTTATGAATGTATGAATAAATGAAAAAGAAGAAAATTATTGATTTTGTAATTCATTTCAAAGCCCAGGAGACAGCTATCAGAATATTATTTTTACAAAACGTGAACTTTTCCCCATTTTTTCCATTCCTTTTCAAACTTCTCTCTACAAGTTTCTCCTTTGCTATTTGCTATAAATCGTTGTATATTATGGTAGTCTTTTATCGTGTTGACCAATGCATTTATATTCAAGGAGCTATGAAGACAACGCATTTTATAAACATATTGTTTAATTATAATAAATATCTCATTATCATTTCTACCATTCACATTTTGTGTAAGAAATCCAAATAAATAAGATTCTTTATTGAAATCAAAAGGAATAATGAGTGCATCCAAAAGAGTTTCAAAACTAAGAAGAAGATTCTGAGTCTCTTGACATTTCCCATAAAATATGGGTAATAGTTTCAATCTCAGAATTGCAAAGTGTACACATAGGAGATACAACTATTCTACTTTTAAAAAGGAAAGAATTTGTTGTCAGAACATGGTGATTTATTCTATACTGAAACCACTGAAATTTTGTATTAGTAGTTATAGCAAAGGGAAGCTTAAAAATCTGATGCCAAGAAAAGTTACTAAAATCAAAGACTCTATTCCATTTCTTCTGTCCTGATGGAACAATGTTATTTTTTACCAGGATACTATACAAATGTTTGGAACCTTTAGACTTTTTAAAGAATGGTTCTAAGTGTACAGGAATAAAAGGACATAACAATCTTAATTTAGGAAAATCTGGATAAGAGTTAAAATGTTTTACTGCAGAAAGAATACTGTGATATTGGAGAAAATTAGTCTGTATTTGATAAGTTTGAGCGAATTCTTGAACTGTATAAAAGGAACCAGAATTATAGTCTTTAATCAGGTCATTTATATTAATAACTCCTTTTTTTATACCAACCCTTAATGAAAATTGACGTTCTATCAATAATAATTTTATTAATGCTCATTGTATATGTATGATCATTGTGTATGTATACAGATTGAACATGTATGCTAATTGTACCAGTATGCTCATTGTACATGTATGCTCATTGTACATGTATACTCATTGTACATCTAAACATGTATGCTCATTTTACTTGTATGCTCATTGTAGATGTATGCTCATTGTACTAGTATGGTCATTGTATATGTATGCTCATTGTACATGTATGTTCATTGTACTAGTATGGTCATTGTATATGTATGCTCATTGTACATGTATGCTCATTGTACTAGTATGGTCATTGTATATGTATGCTCATTGTACATGTATGCTCATTGTACTAGTATGGTCATTGTATATGTATGCTCATTGTACATGTATGCTCATTGTACTAGTATGGTCATTGTATATGTATGCTCATTGTACATGTATGCTCATTGTACTAGTATGGTCATTGTATATGTATGCTCATTGTACATGTATGCTCATTGTACATGTATGCCCATTGTACTAGTATGGTCATTGTATATGTATGCTCATTGTTCATGTATGTTCATTGTACATGTATGCCCATTGTACTAGTATGGTCATTGTATATGTATACTCATTGTACATGTATGCTCATTGTCCTAGTATGGTCATTGTATATGTATGCTCGTTGTACATGTATGCTCATTGTACTAGTATTGTCATTGTATATGTATGCTCATTGTACACGTATACTCATTGTATCTGTATAATCATTGTACATGTATGCTCATTGTATATGTATGCTCAATGTACATGTATGTATACTCACTATACATCTATGTTCATTGTACATCTATACATGTATACTCATTGTATATGTATATTCATTGTACATGTATGCTCATTGTATATGTATGCTCAATGTACATGTATGTTATTGTACATGTTTTGTCATTGTACATGAATCCTCATTGTACATAAATGTTTATTAAAAATATTTGCTCATTGTACTTGTATGTTCAATGTACAAGTATACTCATTGTACATCTATATATGTATGCTACTTGTATACTCATTGTACTTGTATACTCATTGTATATGTATGCTCATTGTATAGGTATATTCATTGTACATGTATTCTCATTGTACATCTATACATGTATACTCATTGTACATGTATGCTCATTGTACATGTATGCTCATTGTATATGTATGCTCATTGTACATGTATGCTCAATGTACATGTATGCTCATTGTATATGTATGCTCATTGTATATGTATGCTCATTGTACATGTATGCTCATTGTATATGTATGCTCATTGTACATGTATACATGTAAACTCATTGTACATCTATACATGTATACTCATTGTACTTGTATACTCATTGTACATGTATGCTCATTGTACATGTATGCTCATTGTATATGTATGCTCATTGTACATGTATGC